AATAATGATAATCATAATTATAATATTACCAATGACAAAGATAACAAGAAACACGAATAAACAGGCATTCAAATTTGCATCAATTTCAACAAAGGCAACACTTCCAGACGGGCCGGAAAATTTGAAGGTGACGGACTTGGTGATAGTGAGCGAAGGTGACCACGCCTCCCTCACCTGCTCTGCGTCTGGCAACCCCGCCCCTGAGCTCACCTGGACCGCCCCCAATCACGCCCGCACGCCCAGGTGGGTTGGTCACGTGACACCTGGTTTCGGGGTCTTGGGTTTTACCTGATTTTTTTTTTTCTTTTTTTTCTTTCTTTTTTTCTATTTTTTTCTTTCTTTTTTTCTTTCAATTTTTCTTTCTTTTTCTTTTATTTCTTTTTTCTTTTTCTTTTTTTCTTTTCTTTTTTTCCTTTTCTTTTTCTTTTTTCTTCCTTTTTTTCTTTCTTTTTCTTTTTTTCTTTTTTTCTTTTCTTTTTTCTTTTCTTTTTTCCTTTTCTTTTTTTTCTTTTTTTTTCTTTCTTTTTCTCTTTTTCTTCTTTTCTTTTTCTTTTTTTCTTTTTTTTTCTTTTCTTTTTTAAATCTTATCATGTTCAAGTTGTTTGTTTGTTTATTTATTTATCATTTTATTTATATCTTTATCTATTTTATATTTTATTATTGTTATTATTATTATTTTTTTACCTGTCTCACTTTTCTTATGCTTTTTTTTTTACTTTCTTTTAATCTGTCGTCATTCTATCTTTCTTTCACTCTCTTCCACCCTCTCTCTGTCTTCTTTCTACCCTTCTTTCAGCTTCTCTCCCCCTCCCTCCCTCCCTCCTTCCTCCCTCCCTTCCTCCCTCCCTCCTCCCTCCCTCCCTCCCTCCCTCCTCCGACCCCCAACTTCCCCACACTATTTCTTAAATATCCCCCTCCCCCTCCCCCTCCCCAACATTTTTAGAACAATTACAAGAAGTGTATTTCGAGAAGAGGTAAAGGAGGGGGGGATAGGGGTGGGGGTGGATCATGACCTTCCCTTCCCCCCTTTCTTTCCCTCTACTTCTTTTCTTTCCCTTCCCCTCCCCCTCTCCCTCCTCCCTCTCTCTCCTTTCCTCCTCCCCTCTTACCCTGCTCTGTCTCCCTCCATTTCTCTCCCCCCTTTCCCTCCCTTCTACCTCCTTTCCCTCCCCTCTCCCCCCTTCCCCTCTCCCCCTTCCCCCCTCCCCCCTTTCCCTCTCCCTTTCCCACCTTTCCCTCCCACCTTTTCCTCCCCTCTCCCCTCCCCCTCTTTCCCTTCCCTTCCCCCCCTTCCTCTCCCCCCCTTTCTACCCCCCCACGCTATTAGAAGGACCGCCCCCCTCAGTGTAGCGCAGAAAGGATCCAGGACGACTTGATGGTGAAAATCGGCTTTGTGGTTGGTTTATAAGTGGTCTTTTGTAAGGGTGAAGGCAAGGGTGAGAATGGAAACTTAAAAATGGTACAGGGTAGAAGAAAGAGAGAGAGAGAGAGAGAGGGGAGGGAGGGAGGGAGGGAGGGAGGGAGAGAGAGATGGGGGAGGGAGGGAGGAAGAGAGAGAGGGAGAGAGAGAGAGAGGGAGGGAGAGAGAGAGGGGAGAGGGAGGGAGAAAGAGAGAGAGGGAGAGAGAGAGAGAGAGAGAGAGAGAGAGAGAGAGAGAGAGAGAGAGAGAGAGAGAGAGAGAGAGAGAGAGAGAGAGAGAGAAAGGGGAGAGAGGGAGAGGGAGGTTGAAAGAGAGGTAGTGGGAGAGAGAGAGAGGGAGAGATGGAGAGAGAGAGAGGGAGAGATGAGAGTGAGAGAGGAGAGAGAGAGTGAGAGAGAGAGAGAGAGAGAGAGAGAGAGAGAGAGAGAGAGAGAGAGAGAGAGAGAGAGAGAGAGAGAGAGAGAGAGAGAAAGGGAGAGAGGGAGAGGGAGGTTGAAAGAGAGAGAGTGAGAGAGAGGGAGGGAGAGATGGAGAGAGAGAGAGGGAGAATAGAGAGAAGAGAGAGAGAGAGAGAGAGAGAGAGATAGAGAGAGAGAGAGAGAGAGAAGAGAGAAAGAGGAGAGAGAGAGAGAGAGAGAGGAAGGGAGAGAGGGAGAGGGAGGTTGAAAGAGAGAGAGTGAGAGAGAGAGAGGGAGAGATGGAGAGAGAGAGAGAGAGAGGGAGAGAGAGAGAGAGAGAGAGAGAGAGAGAGAGAGAGAGAGAGAGAGGGAGAGGGAGGTTGAAAGAGAGAGAGGGAGGGAGAGAGATGGAGAGAGAGAGAGGGAGAGAGAGAGAGAGAGGAGAGAGAGGGGAGAGACAGAGAGACAGAGAGGGAGACAGAGAGGGAGAGAGAGAGAGAGAGAGAGAGAGAGAGAGAGAGAGAGAGAGAGAGAGAGAGAGAGTGTGTCCTTGTGTACATGTGTGTGCATGTGTATCTGTATGTATGTACATTTTCTCAGTATGGGTATGTGAGTTTATGTCTCATATGTGCGTATGCGTGCGTGAGTTTATTTTCGTGTTTGTGTGCTGCAGAAATATATACGTTCAGTGCTCTCAAAGCGCCCTCTTCCTTCCCCTCTATATACTCCCCACCCCCCCCCCCCCCCCTTGTCATTCCCCTTCTCTGCTCCCCCCCCCCTTCCTACCTTCCTCTTGCCTCTTTCCCCTTTTTCCTTTTTTTTCACCTCCTCCCCTTCCTCCTCCCTCTCCCCCATCTCCTCCTTCTCCTCCCTACCTTCCTCCTCCTTCCCCCCTTCTCCTCCTCTTCCTCCTCTTCCTCCTCCTCCTCCTCCTCCACCCCTCCCCTTCTTCCTCCTTTTTCCCCCTTTCCTCCTCACCCCCTCCCTGCCTCCTCCCCACTACTTTTTTTCCATACCTCTTTTCCCTCCACTGCCCCCCTCTCCACTCCCTCCTCCCCTCCTCCCCTCCCTCACGTCCTTCTTTTTTACCCTCCACTTCTTTCCCCTCCTCCCCCCTCTCCCCTCCCCCCACGTCCTTCTTTTTTTCCCCTCCACCTCTTTCCCCTCCCCCCCCCCCCCTCACCTCTTCCTCCTCCTCATCTTCTTTTCCATCCTCACTTCTTCCCCCCCCCCCCCCTCTTCCTTACCTCGCCCCCCTCGAGATCATAAACATGATCTCGATCCGTCTCGCGCAGTCACCCCTACCCCCCCCCTCCCCCGCCTCCCCCTTCTCCTCCCCTTACTGCTCCCCCCCCTCCCCTCCCCCCGCGGCGAAGTTACGGTGAAAAACCACAGCTAACCTAAAACCCGTGACTTCTGTGGGTGACACTGGCAACGCGATACCCTTCCCCCCCTTCCCCCCCTTCCCCCCTTCCCCCTCTAAACCCCACCCCCCTCTTACCTCTCTCCCCCACTTCTTTCTTTTTTTTCTCTCTTCTTTTTCCCATTCTTCTTCTTCCTTCTTTCTTTGCTTTTTTTTTTTCTCTTTCTCTTCTCCTCTCTGTTTTTTCGTCTTCTTTTGTTTCTTTCCTTTCCTTTCCTTTTCTTCCCCACTTTTCCTTGTATTTCCCCTTCTTCCTTCCCCCCCCCCATAATCCCTACCCCTCCTTTTCTCCTTTCCTTCTCCCCTTTTCCTCCTCCTTCTTCCTCCTTTCCTTCTCCCCTCTTTCTCTACCTTTCCTTCTCCTCTCTTCCTCGTCCTTCCTCCTCCTTCCTCCTCATTTCCTTCTCCCCTCTTTCTCCACCTTTCCTTCTCCTCTCTTCCTCATCCTTCCTCCTCCTTCCTCCTCATTTCCTTCTCCCCTCTTTCTCTACCTTTCCTTCTCCTCTCTTTCTCATCCTTCCTCCTCCTTCCTCCTCATTTCCTTCTCCCCTCTTTCTCTACCTTTCCTTCTCCTCTCTTCCTCGTCCTTCCTCCTCCTTCCTCCTCATTTCCTTCTCCCCTCTTTCTCCACCTTTCCTTCTCCTCTCTTCCTCATCCTTCCTCCTCCTTCCTCCTCATTTCCTTCTCCCCTCTTTCTCCTCCTCCCCCCTTTCCTTCTCTCCTTTTCCTCCTCCTTCCTCCTGGGAAGGGAAGGGAAGAATTAAAGGCAAAGGGAGGAGAGGGAGAGAGAGGAAGGGAAGAAGGGAGGAGAGGGAGAGAGAGGAAGGGAAAGGAAGAAGGGAGGGGAGGGGAAGGGAAAGAAAAGGAAGAAGAGAGGGAAGGGAGGTGAAGGGAAGGGAAGAAGGGAGGAGAGGGAGAGAGAGGAAGGGAAGGGAAGAAGGGAGGGGAGGGGAAGGGAAAGAAAAGGAAGAAGAGAGGGAGGGGAGGTGAAGGGAAGGGAAGAAGGGAGGAGAGGGAGAGAGAGGAAGGGAAGGGAAGAAGGGAGGGGAGGGGAAGGTAAGGTGAAGGTAAGATAAGGGAAAAAGGGAAGGGGAGGGGAAGGTAAGGTAAGGGAAGAAGAGAGGGGAGAGAGGGGAAGTTAAAGGAAGAAGGGAGGGGAAGGGAAGGAAAGGGAAGGGAAGGGAAGAAGGGAGGGTAGGGGAAGAGGAAAAGGAGATGGTGAGGGGGGGGATGCTAAGGAAAGGGAAATTGGGGCAAAAAGTGGTGGAGTTAAAAGGGGAAGGGAAAAGGTGGAAAAGTGGAGTGAGAGTGGAGGAGGACGGTGACAGGTGGAAGATGAAGAGCTCTCTCTATCTTTCCATCTATCTGTCGATCTGTCTGTCTATCTATGTGTCTATCTATCTATCTATGTGTCTATATATCTATATGTCTATCTCACTATTTATCTATCAATATGTCTATCTATCTATCTATATATCTATCTATCTGTATGTCTATCTATCTATCTATATGTCTATCTATCTATATGTATATCAGTAGCGTAGCGAGGGGGGGCAAGGGGGGGCAGCCGCCCCCCCAATGCTCAGAAAGTTGGTCTCTGAGAAAAGTGCAAATCTGCAATAAAATTTGTAGGGGGTACGACAAAAAAAAACAAGGCTTCATTTGCCAAAAATTGATAACATACAATTATAAGCCATCTGAAAAGAGCCGTTTTCCAGCATTCTAAGGGGCGTGGTCTTAAATTTTCCCGGGGGAAGAT